CCGCACCTCGCAAGCGCGTGGTGAGAAGGAGCGCCACGACACTCACGTGGGATTTTAGGTTGAGGAAGAGAATTTCACAATATTAACCGAGCAAGAAAAAATATCTACTTTTTGGCCCAGTAATTTTTTTTTTTTTTTTTTTGTACAGGGTCTCACTATGCAGCTCGGACTCCTAGTGGTCCTGTTTTCAACCTCCCTGCACTGGGATTACAGGCATGCACCACCAAACCCAGTCTCGGTGGCTGGCTCAGCAAGCCGGGTGGTGGGGCCAGCGTGACATGTGGTGCTGGGGATCGAATCCCGGTCCCTGAGCTTGCCTAAGCAGGCACTTAGTCCACTGAAGGCCCAGTAATTAGATGGTCAGAAATTTAAAATAAGTAACTAACCTAAATTTCAGAATAATATTTAAATATATTCATTAATATTTTGTAATAATACAGCACCACATTGGAATTGGGCTAAATATTCAACAATATAGAATAGACCATTTTATAATATGGTGTCCCATTTGATAAAGTCACCTGAGATATTCACAAAGAATTTTAACAAGTAATGAAAAAGACTAAGCCTCAATTCAAATAATATCTAAGTAACTACATTACATTATATGATTTAAATAACTTATCTACAGATGATAGATTGGCAGATAGATCAGATAGATGGATGGATAGATAGATAGATAGATAGATAGATAGATAGATAGACAGACAGACAGACAGACAGACAGACAGACGGACAATCTGTCTATGAAGTCATTGGCTTGTACTATCAAGTACCTCCTTAAAAATCTAATTAAAGCTATGGACCCTTACACAGGAACAAACATACACAATATTTTCTATTAAGAGACTTATAGATACTGAATATTGAACCCATAGTAAAGAATCCCTGAGACTGCCAGAAAATAGATAATAATTAATAGATAGGTTGGTAGGTAAATAAATAGATAGATAGATAGATGTCAGATTGATAAATACATAACATTGATAGATGAAAGTTATAATTCACTACATTTTTTACTTCTCTCTCTCTTTGCTCCCTAGCTCTATGTTCTCTCTCTCTGTCTTTCCTCTCCCCTCTCTCCTCTCT